GCAGAAATTAGACATTGGCAATAACTTGCACAACTATTTGGAGACCCTCTCAAAGGACCAAAAACTGAAAAATGCACCATTTCCCCCCTTATACTTCAGGCAAGAGAAGACCAGAAAATGATAATGTATTTTAGCTTTATTGAAGACATATTACAGTAGACAAACAGGTAGACAAACAAACACATGCTTTATAAAATATACATTCTCATGTGTGAGAAAATATAAATAGATACTAGGAAAGGATCACACTGAACACCAACTTGGCTTTTAACTCTCTTTAGGTACATCTAGTACCAGGGCTACTAGGACTGATGTCCTCCGGTGGGATAAAGGGGGAAAAGGAGAGGGTAGAAATAGTCTTACTATGGATCAAGAGGCCACTTTAAGCAGCCAAGAGATACTCCAAGAGCACTTGACCACCTGATGATCAATTTCTCTTTCAAGACAGTTACAGTTGATAAAAGATCACTTTACTCTTTGTATCTAAAAACAGGCTCAAATCAAGATGATTTTTCACCTTCACCCCACTCATTGGTGGAGATTATTAGGATTGCTAAAACACACTCAACACACAACCTTGAGGGAGCAGGTCCAAAGATTACTACACACACACACACACACACACACACACACACACACACACCCTGACCTCTTATCACTCACAGAATCTCCAGATGATTCATGGGCTCAAGGGTGTTGTTTTGTGAAGAGCAGCTTGTAATACATCTCTTAATTCAGAACCTGTTATTTTTGTCAACAAACCAGGCAGGTGTCCAAAAAAGAAAAAAAAAAATTAAGGCTAACTGATGGTGGTTTAGACTGCACTCTATACAAAAAAGTTCTAAGTTAGAAGCAGGAGGGAAAAACATCTGCCAGACTGGAAAGAGGCCATGTCACAGAAGAATGAGACATTCCCTACAGGTTGCCAAAAATCTCAGCACAACCTCGTAAGGCCCAACTGCTTCACAATTACCCCTGTAATCTGCACTGAGGAGCAAACTCAGAAATGGAGCACGTAGCATGAAATGGCAGTAAATTTACCTCTGTGGCTCCATTACCTTCTAGCATTTCTGTGGATATTAAAATTATTTTGGAAAAGGCTGTAACACACTTGGGTAAAATACTGGGTGTGAACACCACAATTCCAACCCCATTCCAATCGGAGTCCTGCTGGTAAGAAGAAACAGGAATAAAATTAAAGAGTAAAAAGGACGGTTATAATATTATATAGACTTTTAAAGTTTTTATTATGGTAATGCCATTTGTGTTAGTAACTAGTTATAGATTTCTGCAGAATAAGCCCAGAGTTTCATGGTTTCAGCCATTAGCACAGAACAGGCTCCTTATGTCAACCCAAAACCAAAACTCTTTAGTTGAAAAAAATGTCTTTAGTGCTCTATACTTACTGTATATAAAAGACTTTGAAGGAAAAAGTTTTAAGACTGTCAGATTGCTTCTGGAAATTTCCAATGATAAAACTGAGAGAGATCTAACAGTCATCTCGCCCATATTCCCATTCTCAATGTAGAAATTTCTTCAATGCTACGAACTGATGATTATTTGGCTTCTGAGTGTACTTTCCCCACAAAACGCTGATTATTCCAATTACTGGACGAATTTGTTAGAGAATTAGTTAATACAGAATTACTGGCAAGTGTATACTGCACTTCCCTGTAACTTCTGCCCCACAAAATGGGGGCAGATACGACCCCGGTCCTCAGGAATAAAAAGAATGAATTTAATCCTATTTCATGGCAAAACTTTAAGTAATTAAAGACTTATCGCATCTCCCATCTCTTAGGAAAATGGGTAAGAGTCTAAGTTGCTCAATATCTTAATGTTCCTTTTACAACCCACCAACAGGCAGTGTGAAGGCAACTCTTTTTAAATATTAAAGTTACCTTTCAGAAAAATACACATAAAACACTCTGAGATGGCACATTAGAGGGTTTCTGATACTTTGTATCCCATAGAGTAACTTGCACACTAGGGAAAGCACTTTAGAAGCTGCTGAATGACAGAAAGCCAATGGCTTAGGTGTAGACCATGTGCCAGGAAGGCATGGAGTTAAAGAAAGATGCTATTTCTTCTTCCAGATAGACTTAAAGAATCAGTCTAAGAGGGGCACAAATTAAGAGGACTTAGGCATCCCTACTGATACAGGGTGATAACTGGGTGAAGGGCAAGAGAGTATTTCTCTCCGCATTTTGACTTGCTTGGCTTTGCAACATCCCTGATTCAAGAGGCATTAGGCAGACCTTACATGCTGGGAGGAAACACTGATGAGCCACTAACTCTGTCTACGGGTAAGGGTTAAATCACTTCTTGGTCAAAAGCATATGCAATAATGAAAAATTTCAGGAATTTCTTTTCCTAAGATTAGAATTTATTAAATTATTATTTTTTAAGACCATGGGTAAGGCTCTTGATATTTAAACAAATTCTTGACTCGTTTTTTTTTTTTTTTTTTTTTTTTTTTTTTGGTTATTTAGGCAAGCTAGGAGTATCTAGGAGGACATCTCAGCTGTTTGAGGTGATGTAAGGGTGAACCTGGCTGTTCAGGAGACCAGACCAGTCCTAGAAGTAGTAGGACCACTGCCAGGGCAGAGGCAGCGCTCTTGTCTTCGAAGTTTTCTAGAACACTGGTTCCCAGCCTGTTTGTTGGCCCTGTCACCCTTAACAGTCTTGCTATAACTACACCTTTACACTCAAGAAAGTCTGCCAGATTCTGAGTGGGAGTTCAGGGTAGTGACAGGGTAACCTTGAATACACTGGAAAGGTGAGGGAGTCACGAACTAGCCACAAATCAGCCACAGTGCGGCCTCAATAGACTCTGACGCTGTGGTGTGCTGGGGCACTAGCCTTCAGAGCTGCTGCTCGAGAGAGCAGTTGGTGGCTTCCATCGAGTCAAGACTCTTTGTTTGCTGAGACTGGTTCAAAGCAGAGTGTTTCTTCTAGTTGTATTTCTTACACTGTCACCCCTGCTATGGAGGAAGGGAGTCTGGCTCAAGTCAGAGGAAGCAGCACCACCCCTGTTACTCTAACAAACGTCCCATGAAAGCAGCTTTTTATTGGAGTAGCCTAATCCTCCTTGGCTCCTGGAGGGATCACAAATTCACAGGACGTTACAGCTGGAAAGGGCTTTGGACTAGCTAGCAGAATGCCCTCATTTCATAAGCGAGAAAATCAGGCTGGAAGTGAAGAGACTCGCCCCCGACTGCACAGCCAGTAAGGAGCAGAGCTGGGAACAAAATCTAGGTCCTGACTCAAAGTCAGTCCCGTACAGATCACAGTGCACGCTGGTAAGGAAGAAGAGGAGTCACAAACTGGAAGGAGAGAAAAATGGTGATATTTAAGAAGTTCAAAGTAAAAATGAACAGAGGTTGACAGTTTAAAAAGGAAAGAGAGAAAGGCTTGGCAGGAGAAACAGCTAAAGAGGTGCTGCTGTCTATGGGAGAAAAAATCTGAGGATTGAAAACCAGTGTGCAATTCAACTTTCTGGCAAAAAGCGAAGATATTATGTGAGTTTAGAACCCTTGAAATGCGCAGTAACTTAGAAACAGAGATTTGCATTTCAGTGATGGAAGTTATCCAGGATGTAACTAGTGCTCACTAGGTTTAGAGGACAGGATCTGACAGCCTAGGTAAGAAAATCTGAAAGCACAGACAAAAAAAGAACTTTGGTCCGTTACATTCCATTAGAGTGTGAAGACCTTTGTTCACAGAAAGTTTTTTGCTATCACAGAAATTCAAGAGAACTTTTTGGCTTAAATAATCACTTGTACAAAACAAGGACCACTCTAAAGCTTTATAGTGTAAGAATCTGTGCACATTCAATGACTCCTAAAAGCACTCTTCCCTTCTTAAGATATACTGTGCATTGGTAGAAGAGATATTATTTAAAAAAAAACAAACAAATAGAAAAGAAGCAATCTTTGGTTTCCTCGTCAACAACGTACTTTGCTGAAAGAAGATATTCCCAAAAGAAAATTTCCTTTGTCTATGTGCACACGGCTATAACAAGACTGCTAGTCTTTTGAGTCTTTTTATGCTTAGAAAGGTAGTATTACCCGGCACTTGTAAACAGATGGCAAATGACTAGATGTATGAACTTTTAGGTATGAAGAAAGTGGTTAATTACACCAAGATCGTGTTTGTGTGTACGCAATCACTAGGTACCCTGCCTCTGTACATATACTTCTTAACAAATACATTTTTAAAACTTTAAGCAAAGTCTTTAGGTTCGCTAAACCGAGTTATACAAAATCTGTGGTCTGAGAAGCTGCTGTCAATATTATAACTGGATATTATATATAATTTTGGCATATCAAAAATATTTACAATACAGCCAACACATATGGTCAATGAATACAAAAATTATTTATAAATGCACATGTATTTACAATAAGATCCCTGGGCGATAGGGACAAAAAAAAAAAAAAAAAAAAAAGATTCACAAGAATACAACACCCACTGACATGGTAACAGTTGGTCATGCCTGGGATTCTTATCAAAGACCTTGAATATCAAAGCCCAGTCTCAACTATATGCTTAAAACCACTGAAGAATCCCAGACACACTTCCCAGAGGGCTCTAAAGTTATTTGTATTCCTTGGAAGACAAAACAGAACAGTGATGTTTTCTTAGAATCATTCCGCAGGTTGAGACAATCCAGCATGTTAAGCAGCAATGAGACTCTTCCTAATAGGCAATGCACAGCTGGGCACATCCCCGTGGAACCATCAGGAGGCACATTTGTCCTGTATTTTCCTCTGCCCGTGCTGCATGTGTTTTATTAGATGTACCCATTTCTGTCAGCCATTACCCCTTCTTCATCAGGTATAAGCCCAAACAAATGCCCGGCCCACCTTGGTGTGGTCAGATGTAACTGCAGATAGGGAAAGCAAATGCTGACTTCGGGGTTTCTTCTGAACTCTGAGGTAGTAAATACAAAATTAATTACCTTGAGTCTTTGCCCAGATTTCATCCTGGAGTGGGTTTCATGTGCCCTCACAACCGTCTTGAATGTTCCGAGTCCTACTAAAGTCAAAAGCGTGGTTGTGCAACCTGTGACAGGGCATGGAGGATGTGGAACAGTCTGGACCACTCTCCGCCAGACCCTCGCTCTGATGGAGTTGCGGTGACTCAATTACCGGCTGCTGGGAAAAGGGAGGATGAGGCAGGCCTCGTTCTTTGCTTGCACTCCACAGAGGCCGCTGCAATGTTTCTGACAATGAAAGACAATAATTAGTGGCAAACGGAAGTTCAAAACGAATGGTCTAAAACTTAATTTTCTTCTACCCAAATCCTCCAAAAAAAGATGCTCAATATTCCTGAATAAGGACACTGAGAGCAAATGTATACTTGCCATCTTCTTAGCAACAATTAACAAAAGAAAACAAAATAGAAACGGGAACCATGGTCTTTCAAGCCCTTCTACCCAACAAACTTCACCAATTATTTACTGAAACCAGGAGCTATGTCCTCTCCTTTCATCTATTATTAGTGGTTCTGCCGCTACAAAAATTTAAAAATAAAATGCTTTAGACACATGGAAACAGACTAAAATAGCATCCATATTGTCGTGAAAGTTGCATGACACACAGACAAAAATCGCTCATTCAATGCAGCCATTACATCTTTAAATAACAAATGCCCACGTTAAAAAAAATTCTTTTAAAAATAAACAACCACTTCCCTCCAGCTTCTAGCATGCCAATAATTCTAACAACAAAATAATAACCCAAAGCAGCAATTTTAAATCAGATTATCTGTACTTTGTGGTTTCAAAAATATGCATTTCTCATTCACCTTATCTACTGCAGTGGTGAACTCTTTCCCCAAATATCAGTTGCTGAAAGTTATATTAACTTCATGGGGATGCATTTTGGAAAAAGTTAGCAAAACATTCTGGAAACAAACACTCAGAAACAAAAACAAAACCCAAGGGAAAAGTAGACCAGCACAGGGCTTTTAAAGCTTTAATATGCATACAAATAACCTGGGGATCTTGTTAAAATAAAGACTCTGGTTCACTGGGTCTGGGGTGGGAACCTCGGTCTGCATTTCTAAAAGCTCCTAGGTGATGCCGAAGCTGACACCACACTTTGAGTGGGAAGGAGCTAGAACACCCCACTTAGGAATGAGCAGGGCACCAGAGCATTCATTTGCACACTTCCTCACTTACAGACCAGCTTAACAATAAGATGTCCCCAAAGTTAGGAAAAAGATGCACTGCATTTTTGCTTTTACTAAAATTTTTTCGTATGTGTGTACCTCTTTCAAGACACAGGAACATGGATTTACCGTTGGCACACTTCTAACATGGGCACTGAACTTCAGTGACAATATACTCTTCTCTGACTTGTATTCTCTTTAGAAATCTTTGGAGAGGCTTTCTTAATTAATTATTATATATTTATTCAAAATTCAGGGGCTCCTGGGTGGCTCAGTCGGTTAAGCGTCCTACTCTTGACTTTGGCTCAGGTCATGATCTCCTGGTTCGTGAGATCGAGATTTGCTTCAGGCTCTGTGCTGACAATGCAGAGCCTGCTTGAGATTCTTTCTCTCCCTCTCTCTGCCACGCCCTTCCCTCTCAAAATAAATAAACTTAAGAAAAAATGTACTGCTAAAAATAAGAACTTAAATAAAAAAAAAAAAAAAAAAAAAAAAAAAAAAAAAAGAACAGAGCATGTATCTTAAAAGTCCCATGTCAGATCATTTACTCCCACCAGACCCACCCCAGGATGCACCTATAGTCCTCCCCCTCCCCAATTTCCTGTGCTCTTCCATTTCAGGTTGACAAGAGGGTGACAGTTGATGAAAAGCCTGGAGGGACAAGAAGACATGCTAAGGAGGGCCCTTCATGGTCTAGAAAGAGTTGTCAGCAAATGCCTCATCTGCACAATGTAACATATACTTCTTTTCCCAGGCCATGTGGGCCAGCAGACACTATCCCAAAACTGCCTCCTCACTTATGGCCCTGGATCGTAACACCCCACAGCACCAGCTAAGTGATCCTGGCATTCGATGTTTACCTGAGAGAACAGTGACCAAAACATTTTTAAATTTTCTCCATAAAAACCTCCACCGAATTATGCCCAGATTATATCCTTAGCATTTCCAATCTCCATTATTTACATAAAGATGGAAGAAACAATTAACACCCATATGACCCCTTTTAGAAGCTTTCTCTGTACGGCTTCTGAAGCTTTAGGAGTGTGACCTTGATACTCCCACAAAAGCTGTTTCCACCCTACAGATACAGACTTCTTTGTAACCCTTATCCCTAAAAATCTCTGGCTCCAGTTTACACCAGCTAATAGTAGCTCGTTACTACATTATACCAATTGGCTTGCTTCCTGTCAAATCAGAAGGAAAAAACAAGTAGGGGAGGGTAAAAACAAAGCAAAATAAACAAAAAACGCTGTGCCCTTTACCACTGTTCATCTGTGTGGAGGGAAGTTTCTTCTCATTTATTCTCTCATGGTTGGCGGGAAAGGCGGCCAACTCTCTGTCTGCTGATGACACCAGGCTCTCCAAGATAGGGGCATCTTGGGGAGCATGTGCCAAATATGTTTCTTTGGGCATCTGGACCATGAGGCCGGACAGCGTGTGATCCAGAACATCCTCCTCGGCAATATAGGTGTACAGACAGTATTCTCGGGTCCTGGAGTAGATGTTGGCATTGTCGTAACAATCAGAGCAAATAACCCGGGTGCCAGTGCCACCTGACGACAACAAAGGAAAGAATCCTTCAGTTAAGGAATCAGCTTTGCCAATAACCAGTTTCCTTCACCAGCCGCCATCATTATCATCATAGTTGGCACTGATTCAGCACTTATTCAATACACCGTTTCATGGTCTTTCTGTGAATTAACTAATTTAATCCTCACAACCTCCCTATGAGGTAGGTACTATGGTTATCCCCATTTAACAGATGGGGTAACTGTAACACAGAGAAATGAGGTAACTTGCTCATAGATGCCTCCACCTTGTTATGGTAAGGAGGTGAAATCTGAACTCAGGCACTCTGGCTCCAGAGCCCATGCTCTTGAATGCTAGGTTAAACCATCTCTGTCCAGCCTGTACAGGTCAGGCCCAAATCAAGGGCCAAGATAAGGCTGCACTGTGCTATAAGTCACATGTTTGAGTTAAGCAAACTAAAGCAGAGAACAAGGAGTTATGATGACTTCACAAAAACCCGCATCCCTTTCGTGCCATCAGGGAGTTAAGCAACACTCATTACTAACAGTACCCCTCGAGAAGGCTTCTGATGGTCAAGAGTCCTGCCTGATACACACGTGTTTGGCAGAAGTAAAGTTTAATAATGAGCTCCCTGGCCAGTTATGTGTTTTGAAAACTGATGAAAGACAGGAAAGAGAGTGAGAAATAAAGAACAAGTAATTGTTCTTGACCAGGCAACAGTGTTAGAACTGGAAGAGACCTAGAAGTAATTTAGTTTAGCCCAGAAAGCAGTGTTACTGCCCACCAATTTCAAAGAGTAGAGACATTTAAAGATGCTTTTAAATGCTAGCAGTAGCCCCCTTTCCATGGAAAGCCAAAACAAAATCCAATTTATCGATTAAACCGAGAAATTCTGTTAACCCTTGGCCTAAACAATCTCTGTACAAATAGAATAGGCCTTTCATTTGAACAATACTTGAAGAACTACACAGATTTGTTGAAAGGATCTATGAAAGTCTTGAGAGAAGTGCTTTATAAGATATTGCTTATTTATTTTAAAAATGAGAAAGTTACAAAGCTCAGATTTAAGTAACTTGTTCGTGGTCCCAGAGCTGGAAAGAGAAACTAGGAATCAAACCCAATTCCTCTATCCCTTAATTCATCTCCCTGAGCTCTGTCACTCCCTGCAGGAAGGGTGGAGCGAGGGAGAGAAGTAGTATTGGGAAGTGGGATTCATTTAACTAGGGAACATGTTGTATCTCTCTGCTGTTCTCCAACATATGCTGATAATCATCACTGCCCTAAAAACTTTAGTATCAACCTGCCAGCAGGAGACCCAAACCTCCCTGGATATGGTCTGAAGAGTGCTCATGCCTTAAAGGATCAGACACCTGAGAAAAGTTTCTAGAGCATCTCCTACTTTGGTTTGGGAGCTTTTGCTGTGTACACCAATCCCTTGATTTGGGATGTGTTTCTCCTTTCTGTCAGATGGTTTTCTTCTCTGTTAAGATTTCCATCCAATCAATTTCCAGTCAATTTCCATCCTATTTTGCATGCAGCCAAATGTTTTCCGTGAGTATCTTACTTTTAAAATGTTGCCTCGGGTTAATGGGGAAAACGGTACACTGAAAACTAAACTCAACAGAATAAGCTGAAATTGTAAGCATATACAACAAAGAGTCATTACCATCAGTGCCTTTGTGCAAATATCCACTGGTGGGAGGCATAAGTTGCTGATGACTGCCTGCCTCAGAGTTACTGTAGCCTTCCTGTGGCTCCGACAGTGTTCCTTGGGAAGACAAGTAGCTGGGAATGTCTGCAGGCAGATTAAGCTCCTCTGTAAAAGAGACATCTATAACTCTCAAATAAAGTTAGGTGACTGAAGCCAACACTCAGAAGACACTGTGCAAATGTGTTCACTTTGATACTCTTGGCCAGGAAAATGCTATGTACCTAGGAACTCGACAGCTCTTAGAATTTTCCCCTAAACTATTTCTCACTAAAATTCTTTTCAAAGCTTCATTTTAAGGGGCGCCTTGGTGGCTCAGTCAATTAAGCATCCTACTCCTGATTTCAGCTCAAGTCATGAGATCATAGTTCGTGGGATCGAGCCCTACATTGGGCTCTGCACTGAGAGTGCAGAGCCTGCATGGATTCTCTCTCTCTGCCCCTTCCCCGCTCATGTGTGCACGCGCTCTCTCTCTCAAAATAAATAAACATTAAAAAAAAAAAGTATTACTAAAAGAAGCAGAACCTGAAGTCTGAAATCTTATCCATAGGCAAACTTTCACGATCTATCTGACTGAGCCTCTTCTCTTTCAGGATTTCCGGGGGAGGGGTATGAAAGGCTGATCCCAGTCATAAGAGCTCCACTCTTTCCCAAAGGGAAGCTATGATGGAAATGAGCCCTTGGCATTAAAGAAAGAAGGTGTACCTGTAATGTGTTTATGAGAGCAAAGTCTTGGGGGAGTATCTACAAATTCTTAAAATTATTAATCAGAAAGGTTCTATTATATGGAGGAAGTGGACACTTTAAGAAAGAAACTCTTCCTTCTACCACATGTAAAGTATCAAAGCTCCATAGCTTTTTATATTTTACGACAAATCCTACATTATGTTCCTGACTCAAGTACAAGCCATTGGTGTTAACTGGTACCACTCACCTGTGTTTGTGATACTATAGTCTTCATTCTTCCTTCTCATGTGGTAAATAACAATGACCCAGATCAAAGAGGTGCCCACAACACAGCAGACCACAACAATGATGACAATGCCAACTGTGGTCCAGCCATCGTCTTCATGCCCAATGCTACTCTGGGAAGAGTCACAATTGGGGGATGAAATGACATTGAGGTAAATGTGACCACGTTCTGTTCCAAGGGTGTTAGACATGATGCAGGTATATTTTCCAGCATCTTCCAGGCCAGCATCTACAATGATGAGAAGCTGGTTGGCTGCAGCAAAGAAGTGCCGTTCTGTCACCAGCAGTGGCCCATCATCTTTGGTCCAGTTGAGGCGAGGAGCAGGACTTCCTCCCGCTATGCACTGTAATACCGCAGTTTCACCTCGGGTTACTGTCTTGTCCTCCAGGGGTCTGATAAATGAGGGTGTCTCTTACAGAAAGATGTACAAAAGAATCATGTTAAACAATTTTATTTATTGATTTCTACTGAATTAGACAAATGAGGTGTTAATGAAGTAAGTAAGCACTTTCATATGCCCGTAGGAGGATTGAAGTTCATGTTCCAGAAAAGCAAAAGCCTCAAAAATC